GCCTCTGCCTTCAGCTCAGGTCATGATCTCAGGGTCCTGGGATCAAGCCCCGCATTGGGCTCTCCGCTCAGCAGGGAGCCTGTTTCCTCCTCTCTCTCTGCCTGCCTCTCTGCCTACTTGTGATCTCTCTCTCTGTCAAATAAATAAATAAAATATTTTAAAAAAATAGAATGAAAAATTTGGATGGATCTCTTAAAATCAAAAACAAACAAAGACCAACCTAAAAGATTTCCTGAGGATACAAAACCAGTTTGGATATATAAACAAAGTTTAGCTTATTTTGCAAGGCTAACTTGACCTGGGTCATTTCTTGTTTAGGCCTCTGGAAATCATAAACAAAACTTAGACTGTCTCCCAAGGTAGAAATGAAGTAACCACTGACCAATTCCCTGTCGTTGAAGAAAATTATAATATTATAACCAGTCACTGTGAAGAATAAACAGTCACTCCTTTCTCACTGTATAAACTGCTTTATAGCAATATACCCCTGAGCTTCATCCCATGTTTTGGTTTGAGTGCTCCTGGTTTCCAAACTATTTTCTTGGCGTGTGCACAATAAACTTTTACTAATTGTTACTTTGGTGATTGATTGGTTTTACTTCTGTTATTTCTGAACTTTCGGCAGATCTAAAAAAAGCCGTGCTTAGTGAAAGCTGCTCCCCCAAAAGAGTACATACTATACAATTTCATTTATATAGAAGTCTAGGTACCACTTATATGTGGGATCTAAAAAAACAAAACAAATGAATAAGCATAAAAGCAGAAACAGACCCATAAATATAAAGAATAAACTGGTGGTTACCTGAAGGGAAGGGCTGGGTGAATGGGCAAAATGGGTGAAGGGGAGTAGGAGGTCCAGGCTTCCAGTAAAGGAACAACGTCATGGGATGGAAGGTACAGCATAGGGAGCGCAGTCAGTGGTATTGCAGTAGTGTTGTATGGTGACAGATGATAGCTACACCGGTGGTGAGGAATCACTATGTTGTGTGCCTAAAACTAATGTAACATTGTGGGTCAAATTCGATTTTATTTATTTATTTATTTGACAAGGGAGGAGGGGAGAGCACAAGCAGGGGGAGCAGCAGAGGGAGAGGGAGAAGTAGGCTCTCCGCGGAGCAGGGAGCCTGATGCAGTACTCAATCCCAGGACTCTGGGATCCTGACCCGAGCTGAAGGCAGATGCTTAATCCGTTGAGTCACTCAGGCACCCCCAACTTCAATTTTATTTTTTTTAAAGATTTTATTTATTTATTTGACAGACAGAGGTCACAAGTAAGCAGAGAGGCAGGCAGAGAGAGAGGGGTAAGCAGGCTTCCCACTGAGCAGAGAACCGGATGCGGTTCTGGATCCCAGGACCCTGAGATCATGACCTGAGCTGAAGTCAGAGGCTTAACCCACTGAGCCACCCAGGCACCCCACCAACTTCAATTTTAAACATCTAGAAAACTGCAAACTAATGTGCAGCGATAGAATAAATCAGTGGCTGGCGAGAGCACAACACAGGAAAGAGGAATTACGCAGTAGGAAGTTAACTTTTGGCAGTGAGAATGTTTCCTACCTTGATTGTAATGATAGTCTCACAGATATAAACACAGTTAAAAACTTATCAGATTTTGTCAAGCCTGAATCCATTAAAAAAATAAAAGGATTGATTAAATTTTTCAGAATTGGGTAAGGCTATGGGAAGAACTGACTCAAATCCATGAATGAGGGGAGGTAAAAAGGGGCAATAGGTTTATATTCATGAATGGACAAAGCTAAGGCATTGGTTTAAACCCACGCTTGAGCGGGACTGAGAGCGGGTTTGGCTCTGTCCCTTCTGATAGTAATCAATATAGATTAAAGATAAACACTGCTGGGCTGCTACCACACAGCTTGATTGGCCCCAATGCAGGTGATTTGGAAGCTTTAATCCTAAATTCTTGACGATTTTATGATGCACACCTTATTACCAGCACTTCTCAGAGGAGAACACTGAGGCTCTAGATGGAGTGGTGGCTATGGTTCCATCTCAGGGAACCAGGGTTGGCCTTCTGTCTGGACGCTCCTACCCCTCAACCCTGACAACAGCCTCAGTGACCTAAGATCTGTTGCTTCATCCCAATCCTTGCCCTTGTCCCCAGATTTGTGACCCCACTGTCTTCAGCTCTCAGTGAACTCCCACCCACCATGAAGGGTCCCTGCTACTACAATTCATCCCTGAGGCTTCCTTGGACACCCCATTCATGTCCACCAAGACTGAGCATCTCCCAGTCTGGAAGTTCTTCCCCCATTTCTAGACCCTGAAACCCTCATCCACTTGGCAAGTTCCCTGACCCATTTCCTAAGCACTGAGGCTGCCAATGTCTGGAAGCCTCCCCTTACTATCCCCCCATCCTAACCTTTCAACAGTGCACAGGGCCTGCAAAACCTACCATCCACCAATCTACGGAGCCTCAAGCTCCCTTTGCCCAGAACGTAAGTACCCCTCTATCTCAACCACCAGTTCCCAGAGCCATGAGCCCCAGATTGGAAGCTATGCTATCCATCCTCAGTGCTTAAAGTCTCATCTAGAACAGGGAAAGAAAATGAATGAGGTCCAGTGTATCCCCTCCGAAGACAAGGTCAGGTCCGAGGTGGGAGGGCCAGGAGACTGCAGGAGGAAGGGAAGCAGGGACCATTCAACCCCTCTCACCTAGGACAACACCAGGCCCCTGAAAGGTGGACAACAGAGGCTGCCCGGCCACCCAGAATGGACATCAGGACACCGTGCGTCCAGGGCCCAGAGTGAAACAGTCACAGCCCCAGTGAATGCTGGGGATAAGCCGCCTGAGGCGTGCACTGTGGTTGGCTGGCTGTGGGGCCCTGGACTGAGAGGTGTCTGAGCCCCTGTGGCCCCAGTTTCTTCCTCACAGAGTGGCGGTCACAGGCTATCTCTCACCGCACCCCATTCCTCCTTCCACTCCAGTAGCATTGTGCCCAAGTGCTCCCCCAACCGGACCTCTGTCTCCAGGCCACCCTTCACTTTTAATAACTAAGAGGGGCCTCATTCCTTCCTTCTCCTTGGCTGGCGACCCTTCCCACCCATGGGCCTTGAAAGCCTCCTCAAGTTGAGGCCTCTACCGCCTCTCCACTCTCAAGGGCACCCGCCCTTCCCGGCTTTTGGAGTCCCCCAACACTATCACGGTCAGGGCCCCAAACCCTCCCATGGCCCCCAAGGCTCCAAAGGACGCCTCCCCGACGCCCCCGCCCCGTCCCCGCCCCTGCCCAGCCCAACGGACTCTTCCACTTCCCGAGTAGAAAAGTTTCACTGCAAATTTGCTGAGGTCCGGTCCTACTGTGAGCAAAGCTCCGTGGGGGGCTGCAGAATTCCCTGGTAAACGCGGGCTCCACTTCTGCACCCCCGTTTTTAGTTGTCAGAGCTCAGGCGGGGCCCTTAACTTCTCTGGGCCTCGACTTCCCCTCCTCTTCTCGCTCGTGGACTAACAACCCCTCCTGGGTGGAAGAAGGAGCCCAGCGCAGGCTCCGGGGCTCACCGAGGCAGCGCCTGAGGCAGAGCGAGGCCCAGAGCTCGCGCTGGCTCCCGCAGCCAGGCCTCCTAGCCTGCGGCCAGGTAGGTCAGCGCGCGGGTCGGGGCGCCAGGCACCGGACCGGCCGGCCCCAGCCGCATCCAGGCCTGGGCGGGCCGCCAGGTGAGCGCGCCTAGGCGCTCCAAACGCGTCGCTGGCGGCCTTGCGTCCAGCCGGCGGACTTCGGGTCATGGAGCCGCGCGCGAGGGGCGCCACGGACCCTAGGGGGAGCAGAGGAGGTACGGGGGTTGGGTGGGGAGGGACTGGGCGCGTCCCTGACACCCCATGCACCGCCTGTCGGCGCCTCACCTTTTCCTTCCGACAGGTGGTAAACAAAGCAGCCCTGGCGCCCTAGTGGCGGGCGGGTGCCGGGTGGCCGGGGCTGGGCTCCAGGTCCCCGACCCGCACCCGCACCCGCACCGCACCGCACCGCGGGGCTGCGCACCACACCCGGGGGCTCTCAGAAGTCTCCGGGGAGATGTGCCAGAGGGGTCTGCCCGGGGTCACTGGGGACGCCTGGCCACTCAGGGTCCGTAGTGAATTGCGGGGGGTTAGGCGGGGGCCTCCGGGGATAAATGGAGCGGCAGTTGGGGCTACGTGGGCCATCAGGGTTGCCTAGGAGATCTGGAAGGGGACTCGGGGGTGCCGGGGCCACAGCGGGGGCAGACCGTCTTCTGTCGGGACATCTGGGGGAATCGGGGTCCCTCTCGCTCCTGTGCGGGAAGAGTTTGGAATCTGGGGCTACGAAGGGGCAGTTGGAGACCTCTAGAGATAGTCCCAGGGTGCTGGGACGTGTCCAGAAATATTTCGGTCAGCTAGCTCTCTCCAGGGATATCGTGGGCGCGGGCGGGGGTCCGGGGGCATACCCGCGATGGTGGGGGGTCGCGGGAGTTGAGAGGGGCCTGCGGAACTATCGAGGGAGTGGTCGGGGGGTTCCGAAGGTCTTGAGGGGCATTCTAGGTCTTCGGCTCAGGCGGGTGCTGACCTCCCCCTGCGGTCTGGCCTCAGAGCTCGGGAGCTCCTGGCGCGCGCCCCCTGGCGGCCAGAGCTGTGGCCGACGTGGCGGCGCTGGTACGCCCCAAGGCGGGAGAGTGTGTGGGGCGGGTAGGGTGGGGCCTCTCGGGGTGGGGGTGGGGCGGGATGTGAGTGGGGCCGGATTCAGGACTGGCAGAACCGGGATTGCTGGTTACTTCTCTGGGTGGAGCCAAAGGGTGCCACTGGCGGCGGGGCGGGGCTCGGAGGGCGCTTCGAGGGGGCGGAGCCTTGGCGTTATCCTAGAATATTCCTCCACGAGGTGATCCTGGAAAAGTGACTGCGGTACGTTAATGTCGCATTGGCTAGTTGTTGGTGCAGGGCTGGATGGTAATCTCTGTCAGTGGGGGCTTTGTTTGGCATTTCTGAGGAGGTGGGGCCTGGAGAGTTTGGGGGCGGGCAGTTGGCTGACCGGCGGGCCTGGATAAAAAGTACATTCTAGGGGGGTGGATCCTATAAATGCCAGGGCGCGGGACTCGAAATGTCCGGAATGGGTTTAACTTTATAGGTCAGGACCCCAATCTTGCATTGCACCCCGCTGCTCCAGGAAGGACCTAAGGGCGTAATATGAGGAGCAGGATCTTCGCCTTATTAGATGGATGTAGGAAGGAGGTCTGGAGGTGTTTTCATTTTTATTTTATTA